CTTTTAAATCCAGAGGAGTTTACCCACGCTGCAATTCGATTTGGACAAGTTACACCAATGGAAATAGATATTCTCTACCAACTTGCAGATTTATACAGTGTTACTGGGTAACATAATAATTAATTTTGTTATTTAAAAATAACTATTTTGCTGTTTTCTGTGTGAAAACTACTAATTTTCATCTTAATTTAAAAAATTTAAAACTGTATTTTGTTACAGTGATTTATTCAATATAAACTGACTTTGGTGTATGCATGGGTTTTGTAAGTGAATTGTGTACATCAAGCACAATTAATAATTGTCCTATTACAGGTATACATATAAAATAGCAAAATACATTACAGTAGTCCCAAAAGGCTACAATACGCCTTTATTAAATTTAAGTATTGACCACATTTTGCGTGGGTCTTTAACGCATGTGAAATCTTAGGTAGGAATACCTAGAAATAGTTTGTGTTTTGTATCCCTTATTACTAGTAAACAAGAACTTGCTTCTGAATAATCCAAAGTCTTTATGTCCATTTGTAAGCTACAAGATGCGAATGCACTTCTAACTCCAAGGATTCTGTAGTGCACTGTAGCAGACTTCTTAGATGTGCGTTCAAGTAACACAGGGTTGTTTTTTTTTTTTTTTTAAACTCAGGATGTATTTTGTGAGGTGTGGCCAGGAACACTGTTTTGCATATGTTTGATGTTTTATCTAACAGTAATTTACTTTTCTCTGCCTTGTGTAAAGGCGCTTAACTTTGGCAGATATTGAGAGAATAGCACCGCTGGCTGAAGGTGCATTACCTTACAACTTGGCAGAACTCCAGAGGCAGGTAGGTAGAAGTGATACATGCAATAAAATTGTTGAAGTTAAGTAAATGTTTACATGTACATGCATATGAAAAATAAGAATAATACACCTTAAACAGATTCCTAACCAGTGAAACATGCTGCATGTATTGCTATAAGGATAGAAATGGGGCAGGCTATTGAGTATGTGTCTAAACAAGATATTAGATGCCATAAAGGACAACCTGTTCAGATATGAGCATGTACCTATTCAGGTATGAGCATGTATAGATACTTGGATTCCTTGTTGTGAATCCATTTGTTCATTCCTGAAAAGGTCTTTCACTTCACAAAGTAATCTAACTCTGTAATTATATCTTTTTACTATCTGAAAATAATTTTATGAGTATGAAATACAAGGCTTATAAATGTGTTCTTTTTTGAAAAATTGGATGAAATTATGGGCTTAACCATTTATGTAAAATGATAAATTTTGCTGTACTTGTTGGCTATCTGACCTAGACACTAGAGAGGGAATTCAAATTTATTGGGACTGATGAAAAGGACAGAATTAGAAGATGAAAAATACCACAGTAGAATATTAACCCTCTATTTCACCAGACCTTTATATTCTTATTTGCTAGCTTTGCTTTTATCACAGATTCCTTGTTAAAAATACATGTGTATAGTACAGCGTGAGTATACCCAGGCTGTGCAGTAGGATTTTAAATATTGTTTCTCACTTTGGTGGCTCTTTTTACAACTGTAAGAACTGAAGATTTAGGACCAAACATTATGCAGGTGTTTAGCTTATGTTTAGACTTTCCACCACAGTTATTGGGTGCTACACTGCTCACTTTCAGGAGTAAGGCTTGCAAGTTTTTGCAAGAATAAATCTAGATTTGGGGGGCTTATCTTCACTATATTTTTGGTTCAACATCTAATCTGAGAGGTTTTCTTTTGCAAGGAGAGCAGTCTAACGCTAGTTAAGTTGTGAACTAAACTTTACCTTGACCTTCACCTAAGGTTGAACCTGAAGTACTGATGGTATTGAAGCTCACAACATAATGGGGCATCTGCTGTGCTGCTAATAGAAATATTCTATTCCAGATATATTCTAGGGAAATCTTTACTCTGGAGCATTTTGTAGGTGACTGCTGTCATAAGAGTAGTTCAGGGGGAATTAAGTCAACTGTTAATAATGTCAAGATAATAATGCACTCAAGAAAATCCTTGAAATGATTACACAGCAGATTCAGAAAGGAAGACATACATGGTGAATTACATGGTTGCATAATACATAGGCTGGTTGCACGCTGGTGTTTATTATGCAAAACAAAAAAATAGGATCTGATGTGCAATCGTTTATTTATTTTTACTGTTAGAACTTAATGAGACATTGCAGCTCCACACAGAGCTGCACGTTCTCGAGTAAGCTTTACAAGAAAATACAATAGTGTTCATCTGAACCAGTGCATGTTGCTCCAAGGATGTCTCCACATCCCCTTTCCCTCTGTAATATACAAAGGGAAGTAGGATATCTAATTCTTAAGAACTTGTATGAGTATGTCCCATAGTTCTGACTAAATACATCTTTGTGTACTAGGTAGATAAATACAATTTTTCATCCTGAAGGTTCCCATTTTCTTAAAATGTCTAAACAGCTCTGATCCTTTCTTTTTTCAGTCTGTGTTACAAGTTTATGGGGTGCCTATCAAGACATCCAAGGCCTCTGATTCCCAAGTGGGCATAGCCTGTCTTGGGCTGGGTTCTGCTCCCAGATGCCCATACCTCACTTGGTACGCAGACAGCTGAGCTTCTTAGGAATCAGCTGCTGAACAGTCGCATCTTGCAGCTCAGCATTTATGGCAATCTGATGCTGGTGATGAATTGTGTGAAGATGTCGCTCCTGAATTGCAGTGATTTAGCAACTGATTCGCAAGTAGCTCAGCCGTCTGGGCTGTTGGGGCAGGAGGACATTGCAGCTGTCAGCAATACCTTAGTCAGCCATTCCAAGCTACACTGTCTCCTGTAAAGTGAAATTCAGATTCACTACACTGGTGATGCCAATGACAGATAGTACTGCTGCGGGGTGGTCTGAGATAAAGCGGCAGCATGGTGACAAAATCGCCTCTGCCTTGTTCGCCATGTGAATGTCCTGTATGTGCCAGTGGATGAAAGGTCCCAGGAGTCTGTCTGAAAATGAAAGCTTGCATTAATAAAGCCTTTTATTTTTCAGCTCACTTTTTACACATATTGCAAAGAGGTTCCTTTAAGTGCTACAAAATCTAGGATATGTATCAGTGACAGGACCATCTTGAATTAGTTCAACTGCTATAGTTGAAAAATTGTCCCATACAGAATATAACAAGTCTTCCATATGTGAGATGTTGAGTGTATTTTGGTTACTGTTATTACAGGTGGATTTGATCATTCAGTTCTCTTTCAAACAAATTGGTCTGAAATGCAGTGTCTGGTCTGTTCTTAATGTTACCACTCTGTTGTCCTGGGGCAATTAGACATATCTGAGTCGAAATAAGTGTCCAAAACCTGCTTAGTGGTAACAGTCTCCCTATGGGTTCCTGAAGACAAGAAAGGTGGAACGGATTGACGCAGAAATGTGTATACAACATTTATCGAGACTAACGAGAAATATTTTTGATGAAGTTTTATAATAACATTCCTAACTGCCAACTTTACTTTTAATTGGTGTCTTTGTGGCACTCACCTGAGTGACTTGTTTTATTTTACACTTCAGAATTACCTTTGTAGCTTGACACTGTTATAAGATGAGCTCACTGATTAAAGTTTCACTCATTGCTAGAACAGAATATACTCTTTTCACACTCATAACATGTTATATTTTGATCCTATTCTGCATTCTGTGTTAAGAGAGGACAGCAAAAAGCAAAGTAATTTAATTTTCTTTGTTTTATAAGGAACGGTCTTTTACTAGACCTTATCCTAAGTGAACCTTATATTACCTTATTTAACTCTATTGATAAAATGAAAGCTATCCCTTTGTGGAAGAGAGAATATCATTCCAGTGAGGTCCAGCTGTCCCTGGAAAATGAAAACAAGTCTGTAATCACGTTTAGACGACTTTAAAATTTCTTCTTAAAGGAAGATTAAATTTTTACATAAACTCATTCTATCGTTGTAGATTTGGTGGAAATGGAAATTATCCTGCTTTCAATCATGTTTACTTTATTGTCAGTTTTTAAATTGTGTGAGATTTTTCTTAAAGCCTAGCAGCTGAATTTCCTAGGGGGATGACAGCTACAGTAATTCTGTTTATAAATATTCATGATTTGAAAGCTATAGCATTAATTTCATTTACATATCCATCTGAACACACAAGTAAACTGCAAACTTTGTGGACACTTATTTAATAATATAAAAGTGCATTTCCTTCACAAAGTATTTGATTTTTAACATCCAGTGACGTATTCATTAAGGTTAATGTCTGAATGTAATGATTAGATTTTGATGAGAACTCTGTGGAGCTTAGAAGAAAAAGAATAACCTTAAAACAGCTAAAAGGAAGCAGGTGTGCCAAACTAGGAGAAATTTTTTGTGGAATGAAGAACCAGTCCTGCTTCTGAGCCTTTTTGGTGGGGTATTATTGCGTCTGTCTTTTGTTTACATGAATCAGAAGAAATATCTCTGTATTTTAGCATTTATTTTTGTGGTTATTTTATTTTTATTGTGTGGGTTTTTGGTTGGTTTTTTTTTTTTAGGTCAGGAAAAATTTAGTGTTTTCAGGCTAGTGAGGACATTCTTCAGATTTGTTGCTTCTATTTGTAAAGGCAATACATTTGATTTATCCTTTTTTATGGTGGTCCACATGTGCAGTTTATAATTTTGTTGCTAACAGAATTTCTCTGTTAAGCTATATTGTTTGGGGAGGAATTGTGGCAGCTGTATCTTTTTCTTCTGTGGAAAAACTGGGTAAAATATAATTCGTGTTTTTTTACGGGTAATGACCCATCTCAGTCTCATAGGGTTTTGTCCTACATTGTGTGCATACAGAACTTAACTAACATTATGCAATAAAGGCAGGTTTTTGTACATTCAATATAATACCAGTCCAAAAAGAGTAGCTTATGGTGAGGTACATGCTGTCTTTATGTGGATATTCCACTTTCCAGAGCTTCAATAAGCTGAATGTAACTTAGTTAAGAAGCCTTGGTGAGTTAACTGTGAAATGTGCATGTGATAATCTTTGTGGGGAATTCGTAATGTGCATCAGAGCAAAGCGTCTTGTAGCAGTCTGAGGTCTGCGTATGTTCCAGCTGTGCTGCCAGGAGCACGTCTGCTAACGGTACAGGGTGCTTTTTGTGTTTGGGAGTTGGGCTTTAGTACCTGCTTTAATGTGGAATTTAAGTTAGTATCTTGGCCACTTATATAGCCCAGACAAGTTACACTGCATAGTATAAATTCTTCTCTAATCCCCTTATTTATGTTTGTAATAAAATCTGGTCCATTGTGCATACTTTATAGTGCAAGTTTGTGAACACTTACATCTTGTTTATCAGTTACCTTATTTCTAATAACCATCTAACAATACAGTTATGAGTGTCTGCAAATATTTTCTGTGCAGAGTTATATTTATTTAGAACACCAATACATTTATAGTAGTGTATGTGATTGAAGTGACTAGGTCATCATTGCACCTGTAAATTATCAACTGCCTGAAGAAGTCTTCTGGAGAATCCTTTGGGGAATAATTGACTTTTTGCTTGTTTTGAAGACATGAAATGTCACGTTTGTGCTGTGTATTAGTATATATGTGATCTTAAAATATATCCTGTGCTGATAGATATTGCCTGTGAGATACTGAATTCCTTTTGAGATGTTGAATTTTGTTTGAGCCAAAAGGGCGTTCCATGCCTTACAAATTCAATGTAAAGTAGCAAAGTCAATTTGAGTTTGTCTGCTTTTTCTTGAGCATAGTTGTTTCAGTTATACTAGGAGTACATAAGGAAGAATATTTTCTGAAAGGAGCAATTGAAAAATGTGCTTTGTTCATTAGGCATAATAGAAGTTATATAATGATTTTTTTTTTTTTCCTCCTTAACATAAAGCTACTAATTTTTGTCAGTTTCTTTCTGTAACATTATAAAAGCCAATTCACAGGCATGTTTGTTTTCCCATGCAGTTTTTTGAGCTTTTTTCTTTTTTTCCTTTTCTTTTCCTCACACAGCAATCTTTTGGAGAGTTAGGCAGGCCTATCTGGCTCCAGGTAGCTGAGTCAGCTTACAGGTTCACTTTGGGCTCAATTGCGGGAGGTAAGTAATATTTCTGGTTTCTGTTTTCAAACTTGGGTTAGTTAAACGCTGTCTTGCCAGACTACTTGGCATCATCTAAGGTACATCTCTTGGTTATACATGTGAAAAATTGGAGGGTGGAACCACTTTTGATTGTGCCATTCTTTTTCTTTCCTTATCGCTTCTGTTCTAGTATCCCTCCACAGTCCTCTGAAACTCTCCTCCAGTAATGAATTTCCATACTGGTAATTCAGATTGGTTTGCTTTGTTCTACACACCTTGTTTTCTGTGATAATGTAATCCATTCTCCTTGAGAGTTTTTTCTAGACTTTCAGCATTGTGCTTCCTTACTTCCAATGTACCAGTTTATATATTCTTTGTGTTTAAATAAATGTCGTAGAAAATCATTATAATTATATACTACACCAACAATGATGTTGCAGAAATAATACTCCAAATGCTTTCTTACAGCTGTTGGTGCTACTGCGGTGTATCCCATAGACCTGGTGAAAACTCGTATGCAGAATCAGCGCTCCTCTGGTTCAGTCGTAGGAGAGTTGATGTATAAAAACAGCTTTGACTGCTTTAAAAAGGTTTTGCGTTTTGAAGGCTTTTTTGGTCTTTACAGAGGTAAATGAATAAAAAATATATATATCAAGTCAGGGATTTTCTGCCCCCAAAAAAAACCCCCCTTTTTTTTTTTTAATACCTCAACAGCTGGTTTCGTACGGGAAAACAAGGAAATTTGATATCATGTACAATTTTGCTTCTGTTTCCTAGAGCTCAATATTTATATTCCCTTGAGCACTGTTCATCATAAACAATTACTGGGAAAAACTGGGCTTTTTTTCGTTGTTACTGATTTGCTCCTTGCTGCTTCGATTGTTTAAAGTCCTAATGTCTGGGATGTGAGTGTTGTGGACATGATTGTTATCTCATGGACTGAGGATTGTAACTGTTGGGTGGGGGCAAACGTCAGAGGCAGATTAGCATTTGGTGAACAAAGATTTGGTTTACTGCAAGTATTTTTTGTTAAGGGACAAAAGACAGTCAGTTTGAAAGGCACTGGTTAAACTGGATGCCAGATCTTATGCCTCATACTTTTGCAGGTAGTGGGACTTGTTTTACGATTTTATCTTGTGAACAAGAAATTGCACCCTGCTGTTGTATTGTGTTGCTCTATTTTACTTTAAAATATCAACAGTGGAACTCAAAAAGTTGCTTTGAAATCTTAATGTGTATTTTAGAGGACATTTTTTTCTTTTTTAGTTGGAGCGAAGTCACTCACTTCTGTGGTGATCACAGCCTTTTTTTCTGCTTTTCAATGTGTTCTGTCAATTAGTGTCCTTTAAGGACAGTGTCTAAGAAGTTTGTACATGTGAAAGTCTGTGGATTCTGGCTAATGAGTTTTTTGTAATCTTGCAGGACTTTGCTATGCAAGTGAGTAGAGGGAGGAGTATGTCAGTGAAAATGTTAATAAAATAGCTGTAATCTCTGTAAATTATATCTTACTGGTAAATTGTTTTCCATTCTTGTTGCTAAATCTTTCACAAAAGCAAATGCTCTTTGAGTTACGTTATGAGACTACTTCTACAGTGCTGTTCTACAGTACTGTTTTCTTTCTCTTCCTGCCCCAACCCCCCATGGTTTTGCACAGCAGCTTCTAAAACTCATTTGTTATTTGTATTTTTGTTTTCTAACCTTTCTCAAACACTTTAAAATCAAGGATGATTCCATTCATGAGTTCAAAGCAATGCTTTACACATGAGAAAAAATATGCTTGTTTGAAAGAACGTCAGTTTGTTAAACTTTTTAATAGTCTGTTTAAAAATTGTCTTTAAGATTCTTTAGCATAAAAGGTTCATGTAGTTGTTTGAAAATGCTGCAGTTAATGGTCAGCATGTTACTAAGGTCTTGGACTCTTAGAATTAGATGGTCTGTGGAAGTACATTAAACTAAACAACAGAAACATTTATGGAGTTGACTTTGGGTCGGTTACTGGGTTCTTATATTCCTGAGCTGGACTGTCCTTTGTATTGTAATGTAACAGTACCCTGTAGTCTTTACTCCAGTTTAAAAAAATGGAACTGAGTGCATACTGGAAAGAACGTTTTAAATAAAAACGTTATAATTTTCTTGACTAAAAACCCTATGACACTTTTGCATCGTGGCATCCAACTTCGGAACTAATGAAGTGTCTTCTAAGGTGCCTCACTAGACCATGCAGGGTCTCAGGTTCTCTGGCACACCAAAAGCCTGTGCCCAGTGAGTTCAGCTGCATAAAAGGGAGGGGGGCTTGTGCTGTTTTGTCTGGTAGTTTTGGGGTTTTAAAGTGTAGGTGCTGTAGAGCTGGATTTTCTTTTCATGGTAGATCAGAGATTCAGGCTGGGAGGGCAGCGTTTCTTTTTGTTATTGTCAACCTTTCTTTGTATTTAATAACTACCTTTCCTCAGCACAGTAAGTACTATGTTGGAAGAAAACACTGTGCTGCATACATTAGCTGCTGCACTTCCTATTTAGACGTGTTTGCCTTGAGCTTCCTTTTATGGAAGTAGTATCAAAATTCTGCAGGCTGAGTGCTTTTGGTGATTCTGAACATTTTAAATGAATTTTTAGCTATTATTCTTTTTGCTTAATGGATGATGGAAAACTACAGTTTTGTTGCTGTTACCTGATATTTGGTATAATTAGCATGGGATTTTTTGTTAGTTAACTGGCAAACACTTTTGACAAACCGATATTCCCTAGCCATGGAATAACATTAGGAAATGAATACTTCTAATAAAAATAAGCCTTTTAAGTTTTATAATCTATACATAGGCCAAAATGACTGTGGAGAAAATGGATTTAAAAATAACAGACAGTTATAATCTTGTATGTTAGGAAGTTAAGACTGCCATCTACTGATTTTTTTCTTAAACTTATTAGATCCTAGAAATGTGTATGTACTTCTGTCAAATGGCAGTTCCATTTTGATAGTAGCTATCTTCCAGGAGCAAGGGCCTTTTCAAAGTCAGTTTCTGTCCACTAATGCTTCCTCTTGGTGAGATAAAAAAATACTTAATGGTACTAGGGTTTAAAGAAGTTCATGCTACCATGTTGAACTGAACAAGAGAAAATCCTTTATATCCTTAGTTGACTGGAACCTTCAGAAAACTCAGGTTAGTGAGTCAAGTCGGAGTGAGTTGATAATTTATCTGTGTCGTGTGTATCTTGCAATTAGTCTCAGATTCTAAAAACTAATCGCAAGCTTTATGGGAAAATGATATTAAGGGGCTAAAAAAGTCAAAGAACTCCTAAGTAGTAGACATATTCAAGGTGTATGTTCAGTCCTTACCTGCTTTTTCCTTCTGTACAGCAATAGCATCAGGCTTGACTTGGTTGCAAATGGCAGGTCTGGTCACCCTTTTCATTACCGTTTGAATCAGAAATCTTAATATAAAATTGTATTGGTATGAATATACAGTGCTCTAGCAGCATCACGCACATAAATGCCATCCCCAAAGGGTATCCCATGTGTAGAAAGGTGTTTCTGTAGAGCTCTTATAAAATACTAGGTTCTGTATTAGGAAGATAATGTTGCCTTATGATGTCTTTGTTTCTATAGGCTTGTTACCACAGCTGATAGGTGTTGCTCCGGAAAAGGCTATTAAGCTAACTGTACGTATCTCTCTTTTTTTTTTTTTTTTTTTTTTTTTTTTTTTTTTTTTTTCCCCTATCATCCTTTTGTTTGTTAACATGCACAGGATTTATTTCCTAAAATGTGTGAAAGATGACCACTTACAAGCACTCTAATATATATGGTTACAGTTGTCTTGATATATGTTAAGTGGAGGAAAAATAACTTAAAATTGTGTGTAATGTATTGTATCTTTATTAGGTTAATGACTTTGTCAGAGACAAATTTACTAAGAAAGATGGTTCCATTCCACTCCCTGCAGAGGTCCTTGCTGGAGGCTGTGTAAGTATCCGTCCTGTGTTTCTGGGAAAAATTGATTCTCGGTCACATGCAGTATAGTTGGAATGACAGTTAATGGGTGTGCTTTGTCAATTTGAACAGAACTGTTGTTTTTTCCCCCAGTCACAAGAACTACAAAAAGTACTTTTTGTGCTTGGAAAGCTTTGTATACTTCCGAGCTGAGTTCCCTTGGAATTACATTCTTGAACAACTTCTTTTGGCCCAGTTTCTAACTTTCAGTTCCAGTAGTGGTTTTATTCCCAAAAGGCTAAAGAGAGGGTGCCTCTTCTCCCTTTACATACTTTTTCTTGGGTTGACATTCATGATTAGTTTAGAAAGATACAGGTACTCATTGAGAGTGGATTATAGAGATAATGTTTTGAGTTTCCTTTGGTGGTGGGGAGGGCAGAGCTAGAACAGTTTAAAAAATCTATTTCTTGCTGAAGATTTTAAGAAGGAAATGAAATATGCTTTTCAAGTTGCTATATGTGAAATTTTTCTGTTTGTGAAAATGTGGAAAAACTGAACAGTGTAGTCTTATGTTTCAGCTAACAGGTACGAGTGAATTTTCTGTTTAAATGACTTTGTGTAAAATGTAGCTACATTAATCTGGATGCTAACTACAGCCATACACTTCAAAAACAAATTGTGTTTTCTTTGAGATTGAGGGCTGTAATTCAGTGTATCTCTTAGCAATCTGTAAGTGGTTTGGATTGTTACTGATGGTAGGGTGGTTTTTTTGTTGGTTTTTTTTTTTTGGTTTTGCACATTGGCTAATTTTATTTGTGGGATTCCCCAACGGTTGTTAACCCTATAAAATGTTTAAGACTTGAGTTAGGTTTTTTTTTTTGTAGTGGAGAACACTAATAACTTCCAGTTGAGTAGGCTGACAGGCTGGTATAAAACCTCCTCAGCTTACAACAAAACCTGGGGCAGAAAGGTTGTTGACCTCTGCAGACTTTTAATTCAAAGAAGCAGCCCTGAAGGGAGGCTGCTTATAGTTCTGCCTGATTGAATGTGGCAGCCTGGTACATGCTTGAGTCTTCACCTGTCAGTGTACAAAGTTTATTTTCTGAGAAATGTGAGAAAGCAGCTGTGATGTATGGCTAGCAAAAGACTAACCTTTTTCTAGAAAGCTCAATAACACAGAAAGAACATACAGGTCATTTGTAACAGAAGTGAATGTAATTCATTAGAGTTTTTCTTTGTGTTGTGGTTAAATTAATAATTAAAATCAAACATCTAATAAACAGTTTTATTATTTTACATTCTTTTGTACTGAAATGTATAATACTAAATTCAATCTACATTAGAAGCTTTCCCACTTCCTGGTAGGTACTCCTTTTTCAAAATAATTTTGTTATCTTACTGTAGCGACCATGCAAAAATTGGGGAGAAATCTAAGTTTCAGATAAGCTTTCAGAAAATTGGATGTTTCTGTCAAGCTAAGCAGATTTATAATCTATCCCAACAACCCTTTCTTCTAGCTGATTGTCTTACCTGATATTCTCATTTTTTTCAAGATAAGTATTATCTCACTCAATCTGGGAGAATTTTAAACAAAGTTGGCCTTTGTAGGAGAGGAGTTGGCCACAGTTGGCAAGCTCAGGGATGTTCACTTCTTTGTAGCTTCCTCTGGATCATCTGCTATCTTACCAGTTGATGACTTTTCTGTCTGTACTGCTGCTTAATTCCGTTTTAGCAATTTTGCTTCTTCCTAAATACCAGGAATTTTATTAGCAAGCCTATAAAGTTTATTCTAAAAGTCTGAAAAGTATCAGTTGACTAAAGCAGTAGCAAGTTGATATGTTAGTCTGTCTCATCCTCAGTCCTTTTCATCCTCATCATGACAGCTCTTTTCTATGTTGACTTGCTTGCAAACAGGATTGATCTTTGCACTTCTGCTGTCCATTGTATACTGTTTTTCTACGAAACAGTATGAGACATAACCAACAGTTACATCTGAGGAAGTGCCACAAGTAAGCTTAGTCCGTTTCTGTGTGCAGGGGCACACAAGACTTTCTGTTTGAGTGATGCTACCTTTCTTCTTTGTTTTTCCTTTATTCTGTTCCTTTGCTCTCTGTTAGTACAAAAAGATGAGTTACTGTGGGACTGTTTGGGTTTTATATATGCCAAAATTATTTTCAGCATCTGTATTTGGGTAACTTGTTTTTTTGTGTCTTTTCTTTATTGTTTGACACTTAAATATTTTGCTAGTAGTACACTATAAATATAGGCTAAATTCAAAACATGCTTTTCGCCTTGTCATAACATCAGAAGAAACAGCGTTGTGCCCTTATGTAATTCTCAGAGATGTACTTATTACTATCTCTGACCATCACTTGTCTGTATTTAGTGTTGAACCTTCTCCTGATTAACAGGAATGATGCAGTTTTTCATCATTTCTGGTGTGGAACTGGTAGTAGATGAGCAAGATAAGCAAGCCATATTTTCAGCTGTTTTATAGAGTTTCCAGCAGAGGCCTTCCTGACCTTTGAAGGCCCACCCTCTTGTGAACCATACAAAAGCACATTGTGCATGCCACAGTCCTCAGCTGGGAACAAAAAAAATTCTTGTGAGGAAGTGGAGGCAGCTTGGGAAAGACTCCAGCAGGCCTAGGAAATTCTCCTCTCTGGATGGCAGTGCCGTGTCAAAGCCTATGTATGGTGTTACAGTCTTCTAAGACCCACACATGAAGACAGGTGAAACCTTTGACATTAAGACAGTAGTGTTTCAAGAGAAGCTGTGTCGGCTGTTCAGTATCCTCAGCTCTGGAGTGTCTGCAAGAAGTGCTATACTATCCAGCAAAGGGGCTGCCTACAGACACGTGCTTCCTCCAGAAATGGTAACTCTGAGAGACTAGATCTCTTTGGCCAAAATCTTACTTCTCAGGCTCCAGTTATTCTCAGCTCCTGTAAGGTTATGGAATAAATTCCCAGTCCCAGTAAGAGGAAATGTCTTCATTCTCATAGCCGTTAACAGAGACACCTGCCCACGCAGCGGCCTATTTATCTGGTCAGCTGCCTGTCTGTTGTCTTTCCTTCCTTACTGCAGGGCAGGGACCTCCCGCAGTAAGGCAGCCCTTGCCCTGTGCTCCTTGAAAGCTACCTGCTAGCCGCTGGGCAATGTAAATGTCACTGGGAGGTGTAGGGTCTGCTCTGTCAGAGGCCAAATATTCCCAGCTGTTCCCAAGCTGTAGCTGTATTTGAAATCTGCAGAACAGCTACTTGGGGCAGCTCAGTTACAGCAGCCAGGTCATACCTGTCAATGAAAGGGCTCTGGTCCCTGATCGGTGAAACTGATATCCCATCTTCCTCCCTTCCCCAGAGTATGCTGGTTTGTTAATCATCAACAGCACTATCTGCACTTACGCATGTTCAGAGCAAACAGTTTCT